TTCGTTATGATTGCATCGTCCATGACTTCTAGGAATACCATGATGCAATTCATATCATGTCTGAGGCAATACCAGCTTCAGATTGCATCATTCATTGTTTTGCCTAAAAAGCAAGTACTGTCCAAACCCTGTCATAGATTTATTCATAGATCCAGTCAAAGATGTATTTTAGTCATTTCTGGTTTAAATTGAGATCCCTTCCCTTTATAACTCACTTATCCTCCGCCATTCCCAAGTCAAGCGTCGTATATACTGACCCAATAACATATCTTGAAAATTAGAGCCAATCAACAATTTTAAGCATCATTTTCGTTCTCAGTGACCCAGAATTAGTAAAGTTTGACTGCATTTATTTCAGAAGCATTTTGGCTGTCGAGTAGTGTAATCTTTCAGAGTAAGCACTGATGTAAAAAACCAACAGTCCTTGTTTGAGTAGATTAAAAACTTTTCAGTTTAGTGACTGTGTCATTACTAAATGGATTACTCACATCTAGAAGAAAACACTTTATCACAAACCTATTCTGGGCATGATGATCACTCAGACTATTGATGGAAGAGAGCACCAAAGCTTCATTTATGTACCAATGAAGTCCACTGCACTCTTCAGAAACATCACAACAGGTGTTCTAATTGCTTCCATGAATCCTAATCTTTAGCATATAAAGACAGACCATATGACTATCCATTAATTGCCTCAGTTTAATTATATTAGTCTCCTTATAAAAATGCTAGCAGGTTCATTTTTGTTTCTGAAGTGCAAGACTTGCTAGATTACAAGGGAAGCCAATGTGTCTACAGATTTACACAGTATTGAACAAAAATGCACGTGATATGTGACATTTACCACACACAAAGATGACAATTATAAATAGTCTTGACAGCATATAGCTGCATGTCTAATAATAATAAAACCTGCTCAGCCACCTTGTGAAACAACCGAACTATCAATATAAAATTAATGGTAACATACAAAAATCCTTCCAGGCATATTTCCAAATATGGTATTTATTTTAAAACCAAAAAACCCATAAATCTTCATCAAGGGTGTATTCAGCTAAAAGGTTTTGGCTAAATAAGAGCTACAAGCTCCTATAGTCCTTCCACCTGGCAAGGAAAACAACATATTACTCAATTTTCTTCAAGATACCTAGTATCTTAGAAAACATGACGCTCTCTTAACCTTAAAAAAGAAAAGAAAGAAAGAAAAACAGCAGCATACCTCCCCCTTAGGGTATCTGTATCTGTATTTGTCTTGGTCTCTCAAAGCAAATTCAAGAGGATAGTTTTCCTGAATTTCTTCATATGTCATTTCTTCACAGACTCCCTAAGGGTAACAAAAACAAAAGGCTCACAATATCCATGAGAGTCATCAGGCCCATGGGCATATCAGTAGATCTTTATCTCCCATACCCACAGTGGCAAATTTGGAGCTTCTATGTAATAATGTATTAATCCTATAGGTGACCTAGTCATTGACATAGACTGTGTCAATTTCACAATCATATTGAGGTAGAAGAATATTTATTATCCACATATACTGCTTTTATTCAATGCAGGATGTCCTCAGAATGATGACAGTAACTCCCAGATAAGAACATCCCAGCACACACTTAACAGACAATTGGGAAAGCTACCAGTTTCAAGGATCCTACATGTGGTCTCCAAAGAAACTTCAAAATTTATAAGTATAAGTGCCTTACAATGGTAAACAAGTGACAAGTGCCAAATATTAAAATTTTCTCTCTCCTAAGAACATGCCTGAAATTTTGGACCTAGAATTATATTGAGTGTCCTTTTTATTAGCCTGGTCCAACACACAACTTGATGGCATTTCTCTGCTTGCCTATAATGCAATAACCTTTGAATGTTGCATATGATCCACTAAAAAATTTCAAGGAACATTCTAGATATCAATGGGCAGAATGCTATTGATTTTGTGAAAAGTCAGAAAACCAGACGGGTGAAATGAGGGAACATGCAGAGCTACTAGCTTCAATCAAGTCTGCAATTGTCTACATATCAAAGAACTGGTTGACAGCAGCCATTAACACCTTTAACCTAACAATACTCTCCCTCCCCCATCTCAGCTCTGCTCATGGCCCCCATAAGAGTTTAAAATGCAGACACCCTAAATGACTTATCTCCCAGAAAGGGGGAGGGGAGGAAGACTTAAGAATGGTGAGGAGGAAAAGGGGACTTGAGCAGGGTGGGAGAGAGAAAAGAACACCACAGCGCCCCTAGCAGCAGAGAGGGAGCTTGTGAGGGTGGCGAAGGTGCCCATGCTCAGCCTACAGAAGAAATTAACTGTGTGACTGTTACGGGGTGCTCACCACACCCTGCTGGGTTCAGCCTCCTGGCCCCGCTCCCCAGTGAGTCAGGACCACTTCAAGCTGGGGCAACACCCATGCTCTTTATTACTGTGTCCGGTCCCCACCACCAAGCTCCAACTATTTACAGAGTATTTACAGGTTTGGCCTAGCACAGGCCTCAGTGGCAACAGGGTATCAGGCTCCTGGCTCCTTCTGAGCCTACTCTCCCCTCCTGGTCTCTGCCCCCTGCCCTCCAACTCACTTCCTCTCTAGCTTTTAGCCCCTGTTAACAAGGCTGGCAGGTGTGGCCAGTTTCCAGGCCAGTCCTAGCTAGTGGCTCAGCCCCAACCCATTTCCCCTGATTGGGGCTGGAGTGGCAGGAGCTGATTAGGGCTTCCCCTGTAGCACCCTACCACAGTGACCCTTTAAGCTGCATACCGTTTAACCAAGACTAAGTCTAAATTCATTAGGGCACCTTTTACTAAAACATTTAACACTGTTAATGGGGAAAGGGCATAAGCCTTCTGATCTCCAGAACCATAATACTAATTACCTTCTAATCCACACAAACCCTATTACTGCACAATAAAGTACTCCCCCCATCTGAAACAAAACCACTTTCTTGAATAGTTACAAAAACGGAAACCCGGGAGAACTTACTGCATCTATTTCATTCAAAACCTTCCACTGTTCATAAGGCACTCCCAAAGCCTCCGCAGTTTGAATCGTCCTTTTCATCTGACTGGTCCAAACTTTCAGATCCTTGATGTTTTGCTCATTAATGAACTGCGCCAAGCTCTTGGCAAACTGAAAAAGACATTAGAGGTTGGATGAGGGATCAGTGCCAATATACTGTGCTTGAGTTGGAACCCAATCGGTTCTTGTCCCTTATTGCAAGTTCATTATGTTACTTTAAAAAGGTTCTTTAGACTTTTCTTAAGAATATGACAGTTCCTGTTCAGCAATGAAAAGATGATACAAAGATGACAACAATCCTATTTGGTACCCCACTCCAGCCCCAAAACAACTTCCCCTTCCATCTTTACCTTACAAAGGTTCACAGGTGTCCACCAACTAAGGAGCGCCACAGGTTTAAAAATCAAAACCCAACTTAAAATAAGGACTCCTTGAAAAGTGCTTTGAGCTCAAGGTTTATACAAGTGTATCAGAGAAGAATGAAAATAGAAGCCATATATGAAGAGCTACCAGCAAACTACAATACAACTTGCCCATTCAAACCTCTTACCCACTTGCATGACATTACAGTCAAGGTAAAAGGGATATTTATGTTTGTTATAAGGAAAGGACAGAGGAAAGAAAGGAAGCTGTAAGAGATGGTCAACAACATAAGAACACCCATACTGGGTCAGACTAATGGTCCACGTAACCCACTATCCTGTCTCTGGCAGTGGCCAGTGACAGATGCTTTCAGAGTGAATGAACCGAACAGGGCAATTTCAAGTGACCTATCCCGTCATCCAGTCCCAGCTTCTGGAAGTTGGAGGTTTAGGGACATCTGGAGCATGGGGTTGCATCCCTGACAACAGCCATTGATGGACCGATCCTCCATAAACAATAATTCCAACATCCACCCACACAAGGACACCATTTGTTTGAAGTTACTTAATAAAAATGATCTTACCTCTTTCCCCCTAAGGGACAGTCCAGTGTCTCCTCCTATCCTCCCTTTCAGATTCAGTTCACTTTCTCCATGTCGACAGAGGTAGATCGAGCGAGGAGTTACGTGGATATTCATGAGGTAGTAGACAATCCGGCTTTGGATATGGTCCATTACTCTATTCACAAGGTAACTCCTTCCAACATCCATGATTTTAATATAGGAAAGATCCCTTTCATGGTAAACAAATGAGACTCATAAATCATCATTTGGTTTCCTCTCTCCTCTAACTTGTACCAAGCCCCACCAACAAACATCACCACTCAAAAACAAAAAGGCAACTGCCAAAGAGACCACAAATTGAATAAATCTTCAGATATATGAAAATATATAATATCAGTTCAAAAGGGCTAATCTTCATTATAAATCCTCAGCCTTGATGCATGGCAGCAAAGTATTGTCAACAGAGGTGCAATGAACTCATGCAAACAATTTTCTCCTCACATGTAAAACTCTTCTCTCTCTCATGTCACACCATTCTGTACCACTTCACTTGTGCACTGCCGCCCAGCTAGATCCTCAAAGGCAAAGCCCTTCATTGAAAGGAAGATTCAGGAGCAGTCCCAGGAGAAATTCTGACTTGCTCATGTAAGCCTGACACCATTCTGCAAATTGCAGCTGTTGCTCCCCACACCTAATAGATGTCCGGTACAGAAAGGGATTGGAGCCACCGTCACATCCACATGCCTCACTGACCCCTTCTAAAAAGGGTCACCAGAAGAGCTAGCAATCCCAGCCACCTTGTGGATGTCTCTTTGGCCAGCCCCACTCCCACCCAAGTTCTACCCACTCACATTGGGTAAGGTACAATCTGACTCATATTATCTATTTGTTTTCCTCTCCACTCCCATCTCCACCAACTTGTATAGTCGAGCTAACAATTTTGAGCAACATTCAACTTAGCAAAAAACAGGTTTCAGGGTAGCAGCCGTGTTAGTCTGTATCCTCAAAAAGAACAGGAGTACTTGTGGCACCTTAGAGACTAACAAATTTATTAGAGCATAAGCTTTCGTGGGCTACAACCCACTTTTTCGGATGCATATGGTGCCACAAGTACTCCTGTTCTTTTTTAGCAAAAAAGCGTGTCAAGATTGGGGAGCCTAAAATTAGCCTTTTTGTGTTTTGTCCATTCAGTTGAGAAACCACATGATTAAAAAAAAAAAGATAACCTATTATTAAATGCAGTAAGGAACAACCACCATCACTTAATCTCTGAAAGCATTTGCTGACGTTAATCATTACTGATCTGCACAGGCACAAATATCATGGCTCTTAAAGACATGATATGTACAGATAGATCTGACAGAAGCAGCTTGTCACTGCTCACGGTCAATTACACTAAAATGATTTTTCAGCATGGCAACAGCCACAAAACAAACAATGAGAAATTTACTGAGAGGATGAGTCTAGCATAAAACCCTAGGAAGAAAGCTTGAGTGCTGGTACTGGGATGTACCATGACAAAGTTCTTCCCACAGTTTCCAGACTCTACCTTAATCTCACAGTGTGTTAAATGTGAATGGTAAGTACACCTCATTTAAAACACTGAACAAATGAGTCTGGACTTCAAATTTCTTAAGACTAAGGCATTCAAAGTTGCCACAGGGATTTAAGAGTCAATGTGACTTGTGCTCTTAAATCACTTAGGCCTTGCCTACCTAGAGGAAACGGACCAGCAAAAATATTCCAGAATAACAATTCCACTATAGCTATCCTGGAATACTATAGCTATTCAGGAATAATTTCCCCATGTGGACACTATTCTGAAATAAAAGTGACTTTATTCTGATTATAGCAAATCCAGAGTAATTATTCTGGAATAAAGCACAGGGACGGCTATGGTGGAATAGTTATACCAGTAAATTTCCCCGTGTAGGCAAGCTGCTAAGGCCTTTGAAAAATCTCTCTCTAAATTGCCAACAGATGAGATAGTAAAACAAAAAACAAAAAAAAATGGTGACATATTTCCATGACAATGAGATTGAGTACACATTCCCTAATGTAATGTCATGAAATAAAGTGGTTGTGACCACAGTATTATTCTGCCACTTACTTGTCCAGAGTTTCATCTAGCATCTCATATGTGTTCTTGTAGCACTCTATTCTTTTCATGAAGTCTTCTGTAGCTTCATCATTACTACAATCAACATAATCAGGACTGCCAAGTTTCACTTGCTATTTAAAGTAAAGATAAAAGAGCACATGCATTTTTTCCCCATTTTCAGCAAAGTTTAAAGACATTTTAACCAAATGTGTGTAGCAATGGATGGCTGTTTTTAATTAAACCTAAATTCCGTACTTACTATATAAATGGGTAGGAAAACAAATCAAAAGGAAAAAGGAGATAAATGATGTTTCTTTTCTTTTAGGAGTCCTGCTAAAATAAGCCACTCAAAGAACAGCCTATTTAAAGGTAGATTAAAGAAAAAACAGAACCCACGTGAAGGGTGACCCAACTGCCAAATAATTTTTCCTTTTAAAATAAAATGAAAGGGTACAGTTTTATATTACTGCCATGAAATTACATTCTTGTTCTGTACTTCAGCAAGACCAGTGTGAAAGGAGAGGGAAAATGAGACTAAATGAAAGGTAATATTAAAAAAGTCATCATCATATGGCTGATTTTAGAGACGCTACAGTGTCTCCCGGCTTCAACCAATTTAAGAAAACTTTTCTATAACTCACCACAATATTTGCAGCAATGACCTCTGGATCTACACATACTGATTCAACAAAGAACGTCTTTAATCCAAACAGGAAATCACATGTAAGGAAGGAGGGAAGAAGGGAGAGACCTTAGAACTGCTCCAGTAATTGACAACACAAACCCACAGTTTCCACCAGTTCATGTATCAAGTCTTGCTAATTATGCCATGCTTCAAACATTCCTATGTCGACTTAGGATTGGTCTTACAGGGTACTCAATGCCCCACTAAAAGTTGAGGGTGCTCTGCACTTTGCAGCATGAGGCTCTATAATTTTCCCAAGCACCTTTCAGTAACAGAAAGCTTCTATGGCAAGAAAATTCAGATTGGCAAAGAAGCGGAAATGGAGAGTGGAAGAAAGTGAATCAGCACTCCTAAAGGTAATTGATACCTTTGAAATAAAAGCATTTTGGTGTTAAAACTAACAGAGCAGCTCTTACGTATGAGATGTACATGACATGCTTTCCCAAAGATCTATGGAGAAGCTAGATCAGGGGGAAAAAAACAGACTACTAGGAAAATGCTGAATGACAAAAAATCCTATACCCAAATAATACAGTCTTTTAAATAGAAACTTATCTGAATAAAAACAAAACAGAAAACCTCTTTCCATTTATCAAAGTAACTAAAGGAAGGCAGTGACAGGACCTTGTTCAGAACAGAATCAGAACTGGGCTAATGACAACCATGTTTGAAACAAGTATCAGGGGGTAGCCGTGTTAGTCTGCATCCACAGAAACAACAAGGAGTCCGGTGGCATCTTAAAGACTAACAGATTTATTTGGGCGTAAGTTTTCATGGTTAAAAAAACCTCACTTCTTCAGATGCATGGAGTGAAGAAGTGAGGTTTTTAACCACGAAAACTACGCCCAAATAAATCTGTTAGTCTCTAAGGTGCCACCGGACTCCTTGTTGTTTATGTTTGAAACAGTTATTGCTAACATTTATATGAATAACATTTATCTGTTATAGGAAGCCAAAACATAAAACAGGGCTACTGATTAATTTCACCAGGATGAAAACAGCATTCTCAGGGGGGGAAAAAACACCTTTCTAAACTCGTCAGAAAAAATGTGCTAGATTTCTACTGGCCAACATCATTTAAAAACTTAGTTGCTGTTAGCACAATTCTGATCAGAATGTCACTAGAGCACAAGACAAAACCACGCATCCACATTAGTCAGATTAATATCCCAAGCATCTTAGCTATTGACTCACCTTATAGCCATTCTCCTCACCAAATCTGAAGATGGTTTCTCTGCGTTCTCGTGTTGTGTTTGTAGCATCAAAAACCTAAGACAAATGACAGAGACAACAGTATCATAGTAGAGTCAAAATACTGCCACATCTTAACAACAGCACTAAACGATCAATAAAAGTTTCCAAGTCCTTCAACTTAAAAAACAAACAAACAAACCCTATAAACAGGAATAAGTCATTCCCAGGAACAATGTCAAAAACTTTGCTGGCACTAGATTATGGCCATAAGAATTCTGAACAAATAAAATAGCACCTGGGTTGAGAACCCACTGTTCTGAAGCATCTCTACCTGTCCTAGTAGTGAAAATGTCAAGTTACATTTCTAAAGTGGCCTCCACTTTCAAAAAGTAAATGCCGCACAGACACACACAATCTAGTTCAGTACTGCTGATGATTAAAGCTGGAATTTTTCAAAGGTGCCTAATTTAACATGCCACGTTTTTAAAAATTAAAAGCCTCACAATGTTATTCACTTCAAGAACAAACATGATGAGCATGATCTCATGGGATCCTGTTCTGCTCTCTTGTACTTATGCCATGTACCTCCCATACATTTCAATAGCTGCATATACTCCTACTCTTGTTTGAACAGTATACAAAGAGGTAAACTTATTGGATTTCCCTGTAGAAGTTTTCCAGCTGCCAAAAGCTTTCAGAAACCAGATAAGATGGGAAAACCTCCATAAGAGAATGTGATTATCCATATAAAAACTGAAAAGCAAGTCTGATGTAAAGAGAGGTTCTGACTATAATAAATGGCATGAATTATACTCCATTTATAATGACTTTAGAAATCATATTCATAATTTTCCTATTCATAAGCAGAATGTACATGGTGAACATTATTGTGAGATAACTGCACACACCTTGAGTATATCGCAAAATGGGTAACTAAATGCAAAATATCTTCAGCCACATACATTCTATTATGCAAACTTTCATGTTTGTTGAGACTTCTATGAAATGGGTTGCATTTGGCAATTTATTTTGATTTTTAAAATTGAGCATAAAAAGTAAAAAAAGGTCCTTTAAATAGCATGTCCTATTTTTCAACACTCCAAATAGCAGGATAAAATTTAGCTTCTTCTAATTTTTTTTTTAATACTAAGAAATAAAAAGATACCTGCACTACTATGAACTCACAGACAGACTGAGTTTTTAAATAAATTCATATTGCACATGTTCTAATGGAAAAAAACTGTTTTGGCAGATAAGTATACACCTTATTATATAAACAATCACTACATTAGTCAAAACATTAAATGTACGGTAAAGTGTAATGATCAAAACAGAGAGCAGGTGCCTTGCATAACTTGTAAACCATACCCATGAATTGTAGGTTTTCCTAATAGTGAAACAGGCATCAATTTCTTCATAGGCAACATTTAAATAGTATATAAGATATAAAATGTTATTTTGAGTCCCAAATTATGGCTTAAATTTACAATAAAATGCTAGTTTGACTAACTCACTGAACACTGAGTGACAGCTGCACATGTCAACGGTCTCAAAAACAGAGTTCAAATTATGCAGAAACCTTAATAATCCCCCAGAGGAAACAAAATTAAAATGTCATTTGAATGAACAGCCCATGTTTTGAATCCTTTGCATATTACTGGCATTAGATGAGCAGAGATTCTAACAGCCAAATTTTACACTGAAGATTCAAATCTCAAAAACCAAGCCAATAAGTTACAACTTAGTAGAAAGTAAAAGCGTGTGTGCATGTGCATTCCCAAGTAGTTTTCCATTAACAGTTATATTAACTGTGTTCCAACAGGAGTTTGTGCCATCACTGATCAAACTGCCAGCAAAATTAAAAACACTATGTGCAACATTGGTGGCATTAACTTTAATTGACAACCCATTGAGTGTGGTCCACTGGGTTTTATTTTCACAAGGGAAGAAAATGTTCAGCAGGTTTGTCCTACTTCTTCTCAGAGGCATTTTTAGAGTGTCAATAACACTAGTATTAAGTCACTTATTTTAGGAAAAAATTTAAAACATTTTTACCTTTGATTTAAACATTGGAGTAGGATACCAAATGGTTCTGGATGCATCTATATTATGATTAAACAGGCTATTTTACCATATAAAAGCACAGGCACTTTCCTCAGCACTAGCACAGCTTGGTAGCATTAGACATCACCCACACATTTCTAAGGGAGGCTGTTTCAGGATTTAATTATGAAAATATCATGGTTTTCCTTTCACAAAATGACCATTGCAGCAGCAACATAAATCCAGTTTCCATTTACAAAGAAAATGTAAGACACACAATGAAATGATTCTGGACTGAATCAGATTATGTATAATCCAGGACAAGTTGGTGATTTTGCAGAGACCACACTCCAAGAATTTGCCTTCAAGAAGACAGAAAACTTACAGCCACATGCCCATTTTCTTCACTGAGGTACTGCTGGACATCATTCAGAGCTGCTAAGGCACACTGTCTTAAAGGAAAAAAGACACATGCTAGTTTAACTAATTTAATTATCCATAATTATGCTTAGCACTACACAACTCTTTGCTTTCAAAGTGCTGAAGAAACATTAGTCAGTCATCAATATATTTGATATGTACTATCTCCACATTACAGGTGGGGAAATGGGCAGAGAGGTGAACTGACTCGCCCAAGGCCATAGATCACAGGCACGCAGCTTTGGACAAAAACGAAAGCAGACATCCTCTGGTAATCTGACACGTTGCACAGGTCAGCACATAACATACAGAATGTTCTACTGCCCAGCTTACGACCCTGGATCAATGTTCACAGATCCATAAAATAATACTATAATAAAAACGCCACTTAAGCTGAAAGGTTCCTCCCTCTCCTCCCCCAAATACTTACCCATGGGCAGCTGACTCTTAATTTGGTCTTCTAGTAAGAAGACATGGTTGCTCAGTGTTTTGAGTTGTGGCCTCATTTTCTTAGGTTAAAATGAATAATTGTTACAACTATTTTGTCTCAAGATATTTCTCAGTAGTCTACTTGCTTTGGACTTCTATGCTGGGTTTCTTATGGTTTTTCTCTTGTTTTTAGCATGCTCGACTCTCATTTTGTCTTAAACTTAGTGTGTATTCATTTTAATGTAAATTAACACAACCACAGCCACTAGTCTGAAACTGAATCACAAATGATACAAGACAATATTTAGAGCTGGCTGGAAGAACACAGAAAACCCTGCATTTTTTATTTAAAATGGCTTAACGTTCAGATCAATTTTCTTCCACTCAATTATTTGACCAGATCTAGTAATAATCTCAAAATGAAATTTTCAATACCTAAATAATACTATGGATAATGTCTGTTTATTCTTTGTGAAATGGACAATTTATCTACCAGGAAATGGGATTTCACATGAACCATCAGATAGCAACAATTTTTGCTAACAACCAACCTAAATGACATATGGTAGCTGCCAAACAGGCTGGATTTGGCTCAATATCCTACACTGGGTTTTACTGGCATTGCTTTTCTAATTTAGGTTCTGGAGTGAAATGTCTAGTTTTCCAAGTGTAACTGATATTCTGTGCTCTTGGTAAAAATTTTGTCTTAAAAGAAAAAATGAGTGCTTTTTAATTCCAACAACTTTTACATTGCAAACACTTCTATACCAACAGCTACTTGTTAATAGAGTTTGGAAGTTAAGATGCATCAATCAATCCTTCGATAACTAAACACACTTCCCATTCCCTTTGCAGCAAATGGGGCAGATTTGATCACGTGGCTTATCAATTACTGTAATTCCAGTCATTTAGTCTAATAAGCGTCATGGAGGCACATTAAGCTGAATTTTAGCTACAAGTAAAAGGTAGAGACTTAGGAGGCCAATGAAACGCATCTATCTCATGTCAAAACCACACACCAGGTTCTTCTGTTCCTTGTATTAGTGATATTGCCTGTTGCAAGGGAAATACAAAATACTGAACAGAAGGTCTCAGTGATGGAGGGGGGAAAAGACGCAAATTTCAAATATTTGGTTTTGCATCACAATTCAGAGAGGATTTGGCTCCCTCTTGCCCATCTGCCTCCCTTATCTCTGCTTCTGTGATAGAAAAACTCTCTCCCCACTCCATACCAGTGGTTCTCTCACCATGACCAACAGACTTCCCTCCTCACAGTTTGGAGGAGTTCCATGTGCTTTCTTTGTCCGCAGTATTTACCACTGGTGCTCCGCTCCCTCCACCTAATTCCCAGGCATAGCAAACAGAGAGCTAATCAGTGCAATTCACCAGCAGACTTGACTGCATACAGAATACGAAGCAGTTCTCACGCTGTCAGACGAAGACAGTGCAGTTCCAGCTCCCCTGAAGCACTGATTGGAATATATTCAAATACACTTTAAATTAGAATAGAAATTCTAATATGTGCGGCAAAAGAGAAAAGATAGGTGTGCACCCTTTTTGGCAGTGGGAAAAAGGGGACAAAGGGAGTCTACTTATTTACCACCTTAGAAATACTAGGACTGTCAAGTCTCATCTACTCTGTTTTTATTGGCAGTCTACTTGAGGTACCTGTGAAATGGAATGGCAGCATTCACAGCCTGTTGAAGGGCCAGAGGTGATGAATCTTAAATAAAGCCAACTGTTTTAGTTGTTTGAGTTAAAACAAAGGTTAAACTAAATTTTAAACAGTCCAAACAAGAGACTCTGCCCCTGCTCCTCTAAGTATCAGGGAGTAGCCGCATTAGTCTGTATCCACAAAAACAATGAGGAGTCCGGTGACACCTTCAAGACTAACAGATTTATTTGGGTTTAAGCTTTCATGGGTAAACTTATGCCCAAATAAATCTGTTAGTCTTGAAGGTGCCACCGGACTCCTCATTGTTTTTGCTCCTCTAAGATTTCATTTCTTTGGTATCTGATACAGTCCTACAGAAATTTCCAGGGCATACAAAATCAGAATATACAGTGGTTCCCAACAGTACATTATAAAATATCATTAGAATTAAACTGGTATTGTGTAAAGCCAAAAATAATCCAACTTACTTTCTGATTTTCAAGCCCTCTTCATTGTCTGGCAAGAAGAACTCAAAGGATTTGTATGTTTTTACCAAATCTCGACGGTACTGACCAACATTAAATTCTGTGGAGAAGAGTCACTATTAGTTGGGATTAATAATCCTGTAAGTAATTAGCATTAAAAAAAACACATTTAATGACAGTTCTGAAAAAATTCACCTCCAGGAACAGATCAGTCTAGTTTGTACCTGGACAACAAAACTAGTTATACATCTCATTTCAGTAAATAAAAGCCTTGTGGTTACAAAACAGGACCAAGTGTGAGCAAATTTGGGTTCTACTCCACAGCCTTCTGCGCACCTTTGGGCAAATCACTTCACCTTCCTGTGCCTCAGTTTTCCCACCTGTAAAATAGGTTAAGTTACTTCCTTCCTCACAGAAATGTTGAGTTAATTTAATTCATTTCTGTAAAGCACTTCAATAATCTTTTTTCCTTCCACAAATTATTGTAGTGAAATTGTATTTCCATAGCACCTAATATCCAAAGACTAACTATTACATAAAGAGAAAAGAGTTATATGTGGAATTAGTCAGCCTAGTTTTTGGCTAAATACACCTTACTTTCCCCCCCATGTACTGTATTATGTGAACACAACCTATTTATTTATATTCTATAAGAAGTAACAAGTGTATATACCATCCTGAAAAAACTCCTATAGGTTAAAAATATATAGAGGGGCACAAAGTGCAGTGCATTTATTGCACATACACTGAATGTGCCATCACTGATCAAAGGGCAATTGTCTTGTGTCTGGACAAAGGTCTATGCCAGCAGGAGTGTCACAGCACAGATGATCAAAGCAAGGCACCAGTAACTTAGCAAACAAGGCAAATGGAATTGTACCATAATTAAGTTTATAAAATAGGGCTCTGAGTACAGCAACTAACGTTTATCTTTTTTTGTGTTTATGGGTTTTCTTTGCTGTACCTTGAGCATTTGTTTAAACTAACCTGGATTGAACATTCTGTTTGAGGAACTACTGTTACTTGCCAGTCTTCATTTCCAGAAGAAGGTAAAGAAATAGGGGAAATTAACTACTGAGCTGTTGTTCAGACTCTCCTGACAACAGCACTAAAAAGGGTCACAGACTAGGAAATTAATAGTAGTTTAATCCTGGACAAAACATACTGCTGAACTTTAACAGTCATCACAATAAATTAGCTAGTACAGCCAATGAAAACTTTAGTAACCAACTGAATGGCATCTATGTCCTGAGTGGCATCAGGACAATTTCCACACAAACTAGTCATCGTTTACGAACCCAGGAGAAGAATATGCAGAAGAGGGAAAGGAACTTTAAGAATGATTATTTTATTAAGAAACAGATCTTTTCTTCATATCAAAGCCCTTTAAAATTAAGAACTACCAAAAAGTACAGTTTGCAAAATTAGCCATACATGAAATTCTTTCTAAAAGAAAAAAGATTCTATATTGCTTCTCCCTAGGGCACCCTTTTCCTTATGATTAGTATCTATTCAGTACAGAAATCTCACTGAAGAAACCCAATTTAATTTAGCACCTTGTGGTCCAAATGTGGTACATAGTTTAGGATTATCCAAAAAAGCCTCCAAAAGGAAGTAGAATACTCAAATCTCACTGAAATTCAATTGAATTTGAGCACTTAGCTCCCTTAGGCTACTTGGATTTGATTTGATCGGAAAGGATAAAAGCAAGTGTCTAATTATTTTTTAAATAATTCTCATTATGGGAGCCTCAGGCTATTTGTCTCAATGTTCTTTATTTCATTCAACATGAGCTACGTGAGAAGATGCCACTCACCTGATCTCTGGATTTTTGATAATCTAGTAATTTTCATACCCACATCAAAGGCTATAAAATCTTATTATACTGAGTACATTCTGTTATTTTTAAATGACATTAAGAAACCTCAGAGTGAAAAAGAGTACATGACCAGACATTTATTACACAAATATCATCCATCAAGTTAGCCTACGACAACAGAGTGATAGACAACGCAAGAGTTATCTATTCGATCAGAGGAAAGGTATTTTAAACTGATTCAGCTCTGATGAAATTGCATTCGTGATGACAAAATAACAAGCTGTTCCTCTGAAGCTAAAGATTAAATGCAAGATATATTTTCCAACAGTAGCAAGGGGGACTAGACTACAGGTCATATGACTGTAAATCCCCAGCAGGACAACCCTCACTGACAGCCTAGTCAGGAATTAGAAATAGCAACTGAACCATACAAATGGCAAGGTTTGTAATGGAGATGATACAGAAGGATTCCCTTCATGAATATCCAGTTCATTTTAAAATTTTAATTTTTAAAACACAAACATTTAAATTTACAGACCTGTTATTTAAGTCTGTGGAACTTTTACCACAGTTCAAGCCAATCATCTCTGCCTACTGCAACTGATAAGCCAACCTCCACCTGCGCCTCCTGCCCGCCAGCAGCCTTGCCAATCAACTCCTCCCTCTCTCTCCCAGCGCCTCCTGCACACCATGGAACAGCTGTTCCACGGCGTGCAGGAGGCCCTGGGAGAGAAACGAGGAGCAGGGACCAGGCACGCTTGGGGGAGGGGACAGGAAGAGGCAGGGTGAGAAGAGGCAGGGTGGGGGTGCAGCATTGGGGGAAGGGATGGAGTGGGGATCAGGCAGGAAGAGGCGGAGCAGGGATTTACAGAAGAAGTGGAGTGTGGGCGGGGCCTGAGGCTGAGCAGGGGTTGAGCACCCCCCAGGACAACTGGAAGCCAGTGCCTGTGGACGAGACCCAAAATCTACTCCCGCAATCTTGGACATGGACAGCGTCTTACGTATTGTCCAACATAGGACTTTTGCTTCGCAAAGTTGAGTGTGCAGCATTTATCTCTTTGAGCTCGATAACTATCCCCGATAAGGACGATAAGGCAGCAGAGGAATCCTGGCTACTATAATAGCTTGCTGAATTTAAAAGGATATTACACTTAGGCCTGGTGTACACTAGGCGGTTATGTCGAATTTAGCAGCGTTAATTTAAATTAACCCTGCACCCGTCCACACAACGAAGCTATTTATTTTGACATAGAGGTCTCTTTAAATCGATTTCTGTACTCCTCCCCGACGAGGGGAGTAGCGCTAAATTCGACATGGCCATGTTGAATTAGGGTTAGTGTGGACGGAATTCGATGTTAATAGCTCTGGGAGCTAACCCACAGTGCACCACTCTGTTGACGCTCTGGACAGCAGTCCGAGCTCCGATGCTCTGACCAGCCACACAGGAAAAGCCCCGGGGAAATTTGAATTCCTTTTCCTATCTGGCCAGTTTGAATCTCATTTCCTGTTTGGACATCGTGGCGAGCTCAGCAGCACTGGCAACAATGCAGAGCTCTCCAGCAGAGGTAACCATGCAATCGCAGAATAGAAAGAGGGCCCCAGCATGAACTGATCGGGAAGTCTTGGATCTGATCGCTGTGTGGGGCGATGAGTCCGTGCTTTCGGAGCTGCGATCAAAAAGACGGAATGCAAAGATCTACGAGAAGATCTCAAAAGCCATGACGGAGAGAGGATACAGCCGGGATGCAACGCAGTGCCGCGTGAAAATCAAGGAGCTGAGACAAGCGTATCAGAAGACCAAAGAGTCAAACGGACGCTCCGGATCCCAGCCCCAGACATGCCGTTTCTACGAGGCACGGCATTCCATTCTAGGTGCCGCCGCCACCACTACCCCACCACTGACCGTGGACTCTGACGATGGAGTATTGTCGACGACCGCTTCCTCGGAGCTGTTCGCGGACGGGGAAGATGAGGAAGGAGATGAGGAGGATGAGGCAGTCGACAGCGCTTTCAACGCTGATTTCCCCAACAGCCAGGATTTCTTCATCACCCTCACAGAGATCCCCTACCAACCCTCCCAAGGCGGTAACCCGGACCGTGAATCAGGGGAAGGATCAGTAGTAAGTGTTTTAAACATTTATTTTGAATAGAATACGCATGGTATGTTAGCACTGGGTTTTTAATGATTAGTTTGCCCTAGGCGCTTAAGTTTTTAGTCCTTGCCAGTGCAGCTACTGGAAAAGTCTGTTAACATATCTGGGGATAGAGTAGAAATCCTCATGGGACATCTCCACGAAGCTCTCCTGGAAGTAATGTGAAAGCTTTTGCATCAAGTTCCTGGGGAGAGCGGCCTTATTGCCTCTTCCATGGCAGGAAACTTTTCCGCGCCAGGCTAGCAGCAGGTACTCCGGTATCATTGCCTGGCAAAGCATGGCGGCATACGGCCCTAGTGTTTGCTGGCATTCACACAGCATGCGGTCTTTCTCTGTCTCTGTAATCCTCATCAGAGTGATATCACTCATGGTGACCTGCTTTGAATTAGGGGAATTTTAGTATGGGGACTGATTGCCTGTTCCTTTAAATAACTGTAACCGGTGGTTTACAGCCACGCAGTGGGGGCGGGGAGGCGAACCGTTCATGCTGAGCGGTTTGCCAGCAGTGTGCAGGGATCTTTACCGGGGACAGGGGCAGAGTTCATGCTGGCCGGATCGCCGGCAGCAGGAACTGGCCAACGCTAGGAGCATTGATTGGAACGTGAAAGGAGGTCACTGCTGTAAATTAAACTTTAAGCAGCCAAAAGTCTACGGCTTACCATGGCCGCCTGCTAGCAGAATTCACGTTGATCTGTACAGCAAGACCCCAGGCACTCAATGTGAAGACAGAAAATTTGACCTTGTACTGAGTGCACATGTGATAGGTACTGTGCATGGTCTTGTTCACAGAGAAAGACTATATTTATTGTTTGCAAAAATGTTTCTTTTTGAGGAATTCACTCCCTTTTTCCCATCCCACAGCTGCGAGTGTCTCCCGAGCTACCCCGGCATCCCCCTCCCAGAGGCTGGCGCAGATCAGGTGGCGAAAGAAAAGGACACGGGACGAGATGTTCTCAGAACTTATGGTCTGTTCCCGAGCCGAGGCGGCACAGCAGACCCAGTGGAGGGAGAACATGTCACAATACCAGCGATCACACAGCGAACGGGAGGACAGGTGGTGGCAGGAAGACGAGCAGGCGACTCAAACGCTGCTTGTACTAATGAGGGAGCAAACGGCTACGCTCCGGCGCCTTGTAGATGTTCTGCAGGACCGGAGGCAGGAAGACAGAGCCCCGCTGCATTCTATCGCTAACCACCCTCCCCCGCCACAAAGTCCCATCCCCCCCTCACCCAAAGTCCCAAGAAGGAGGGGCGGCAGGGGCCGTGAAAACAGTCACTCCACCCCTGCAGACTGCTCAAGTAACAGAAGGCTCTCATTCCCAAAGATTTGATACGTCCTTTCCTTCCCCGCAAATGCACCTCACCCAAGCCCCTGTCCCAGTTTCATCCCCTAAGTGTGTAGTTCTTAATAAAAAATATGTTTCTGTTAATTACGGTTTCCGTCGTGTTCTTTTAGAGGACAGTGTGTTTGAAGGGGGGGGAAGGAGGTTGGTAATTGGAGAGGACAGTCACCTTTACCAGGGTACAGACACAGGGGCAGGTTCAGCAGAAGGTCACACACACATTGCAGTCACTAGGCACACTGGTCAGTCTGGGAGGTGGTTTTCATGTTGTGTGGCGGGGGAGGGCGGTTACAGATCTTATGCAGCGGTCCTTAGCCTGGATGACAGAGCCACGCAGCAGGGGATCTGTAACCGCCTTCCCCCGCCACAAAGTCACATAGCCTCCACACACAGAGTCCCGAAAAGGAGGGGTGGCAGGCTCCGTTGAAACAACCAGTCCACCACTGCGAATCACTCTAGGAGCAGGCGTTTAGAAGCGTCCTTTCCATCACTACACCCGCTCCCCACCAGTCTGCGTCCCAGTTTCAACCCTTTACCGCGAAATCCTTAATAAAGAAAATGGTGTTAATGAACAAAGTTTCATTTATTTTATTTTTAAAGGTGTGTTGGAAGGGGGGGAAGGGAGTTGGTAACTGGAGAGGATAGTCAACATTAACTGTGTAAAGAAATGGGGGCAGATTCAGCTTCTGTTTAAAAAAACGTAATAGTCACAGGTTACCCTGGTCACTCTGGAACCTAGTTTTCAAAGCTTCCCGGATGCACTGCGCGTCCCGCTGGACTCTTCTAATCGCCCAGGTGTCTGGTTGGGCATAATCAGCAGCCAGCCGATTTGCCTCAACCTCCCACCCCACCATAAACGTCTCCCCCTTGCTCTCACAGAGATTGTGGAGCACACAGCAAGCTGCAATAACAATGGGGATATTGGTTTCGCTGAGATCAGAGCGAGTCAGTAAGCTTCTCCATCTCCCCTTCAGATGTCCAAAAGCACACTCCACCAATATTCTGCACTTGCTCAGCCGATAGCTGAAGAGTTCTTTTTCACTGTCCAAGGCGCCTGTATAGGGCTTCACGAGCCAGGGCATTAGCGGGTAGGCTGGGTCCCCGAGGATCACTATAGGCATCTCCACATCCCCAAGAGTTATTTTGTGGTCCGGGAAGTAAATACCTTCCTGCAGCCATCTAAACAGACCAGAATTCCTGAAAACGCGAGCGTCATGAACCTTGCCCAGCCATCCAACATTAATGTTGGTAAAACATCTCCTATGGTCCACCAGTGCTTGCAGCACCATTGAAAAGTAGCCCTTTCGGTTAATGTACTGGCTGGCCTTGTGGTCCGGTCCCAGGATAGGGATGTGAGTTCCATCTATAGCCCCACCGCAGTTTGGGAATCCCATCGCAGCGAAGCCATCTATGATCACCTGCACATTTCCCAGGGTCACTGCCTTTGAGAGCAGTAGCTCAACGATTGCGTTGGCTACTTGCATCACAGCAACCCCCATAGTAGATTTGCCCACTCCAAATTGATTCGCGACTGACCGGTATCTGTCTGGCGTTGCAAGCTTCCAGAGGGCTATGGCCACTCGCTTCTGGATAGTCAGGGCTGCTCGCATCCAGATGTCATTGCACTTCAGGGCAGGTGACAGCAACTCACAAAGCTCCAGGAACGTTCCCTTACGCATCTGAAAGTTTCACAGCAACTGTGATTCATCCCAGACCTGCAGCACTATGCGGTCCCACCAATCCGTGCTTGTTTCCCAGGCCCAAAATCACCGTTCCACAGCATCAACATGACCCATTGCCACCATGATGTCCATGGCGTGGGGTCCCGTGCTTTGTGAGAGGTCTGTGCCCCTCTCAGACTTAATGTCCTCACCGCGCTGCCACAGCCTCCTCGCCCGATTTCGCAGCATCTGCCTCTGAAAAAGGTGGATGATAAGGCGCGAGGTGTTGACAACGGCCATAACTGCAGCGATGATCACAGCAGGCTCCATGCTCGCGGTGCTGTGGCGTCCGCGCTGTCAATCACCAGAAAAGTGCGCGAACTGATTGCCCGCCGACGCTTTCACGGAGGGAGGGCGGGAGTGAGGGTTGAATGACGACAGTTACCCAAAACCACCCTCGACACATTTTTTGCCCCAGCAGGCATTGGAGGCTTGACCCAGAATTCCAATGGGCAGCAGGGACTGCGGGAACTGTGGGATAGCTACCCACAGTGCACCGCTTCCAATGTCTACGCTTGCCCCGTTAGTGTGGACTCACAAAGTCGAATTACTGTCCTTAGTGTGGATACACACGTTTGACTTTGTAATATCGGTTCCACAAATTCACTTTAAGTAAAATCGAACTACTCTCGTAGTGTAGACATACCTTATTTTTTTTTAAAAAAAATTAATAAAAGTCAATTTGCCCCATCATCTGAATAGGAGATGTCAACAGGTGGCACAGCCTTCTAAGTTATTTTTCTTAATGTGCAAGCAAGTTTTGACTCTTGGGAGTCAAGTTTTGACTCTGTGGGGATGTTAATTTTGGTTAGAAGAAGCTTCAGGAGGAAGAGAGAGAGAGGAAACTGTGTGAGCAGCAGGAGAATTTGCTCTCTGCCTTGGGCTCTGATTAGGAAAATTTCTTGACATAGAGCTCCTCCCTGAGAACTAGACAGCAGTGTTGGCCTGAGTTTCCTGTAAGAAGGCAATGGCCTGCATGACTGTCTCACTTCATGACTGCTGCATGTGTTTACAAAAAGCAGGTTACACTTTAAAAGGTATCCTGAATCTGAATCAGTGATTTCTCCTCCACTGGAAACCAAAGTGCAAGGCCCTGGATTTTTGCTACCACTCTTCAGAGAGGACACTGGTGTCAGAACTGACAACAATATTTTGGAAATATTATATATACACCCCACTGTTCCACAAGAACACTGAGCATTCCTATTAGGAAGGGTTTGACAAAGTCAAATGGCAGTCTAAATTCAGCCCAGAACACATTTTCCATATTTCATTTTTTTCCTTCAAAAGCAGTTAAGAAATGAGTGTCTGATCTCAATATACGCAGTCAGAAGTTTGACCTTTCACATTAACTATGTTGTTTAACTGCATTATAGGTAGATATCTATAGTATTTATTGCCCCCCCCCCCCCATTACTGTAGTAACATTCTGAGTCTTCACACTTAGTAATGGGTTGGTTAAGTCTTCCAAACTTTAGATGTTTAGTCATCTCTAAAGATTCAGAGTCCCTGCCACTCCACAAATAAACTATAACTTTATTTTTACTTAGTGCCTTTAATCGGGATTCTCTAAGTGCTTTACCAACATTACCCAGTGAGCAACAATGAGATAGATACTATTACATCCATTTTATGTAATAAAGATAAAGAGTAGCACAGAGAAATTAAGAGATTTCCTCAAAGGTCACATAGGAAGGCAATGGTAAAGTCAGGAACTGATTCCAGGAGTGCTAACTTAGACCCCTCCAGTAAACAAAATCTCTTCTCAGATACCAAAACAAGTTAGTCAACTGTAAGAGTCAGTACATGGAAGATAAATGCAGAGAGTTCATTCAGGAATCTGTCTAGAAAAAGGGGAAAACTGATCAGACAAAACAGCTGATATACAGAATGAAATTTAAATGGAATAAAAAAAGTAAGTATACACCGAATGAAGGACATTGACAAGAGGGTAAGAAGAAACAACAGGGAAATATATTAAAAAAGCTAACAGTCCCAAAAGAAACCTTTTATCTTGATTATCACTTCAAAAGTTTTTTTCTCTTACTTAATTGGCCTCTCAGAGTTGGTAAGACAACTCCCACCTGTTTATGCTCTCTGTATGTGTGTATATATACCTCGTCAATATTTATTCCACTCTATATGCATCCGAAGAAGTGGGCTGTAGTCCACGAAAGCTTATGCTCTAATAAATTTGTTAGTCTCTAAGGTGCCACAAATACTCCTGTTCTTTTTTTAAAAGAAACCTTGTGATGTAAACAAAAGCAGAACAAAACCTTTTGTAGGCACTCCAATCCAGTTTAAGTAGCGTGTCAGTTTCTTGGAGATGTACGTTTTCCCTCTGGCTGGGAGGCCCACCATGACAATCAGTGTAGGACAATTGGTCATACAGACTGAAAGAAAAAGAAATGTTTACAATTAACATGATGCCAAGCAAAGGCTCAAGTAAAAGCAGGAAATTATGGCGTGTAAGCCCCTAAGGAAGTGGCTGATCAGACAGGTCATGCACTCAGTGGTTATTCCATTACAGCATTCCATTTACACCACTTTCAAAGTTTTCCCTAGCAAGTGCAGTGCAACTGGACTCTGTTCTAATTTGTGCACAGTTTTAGCAAAGTGAGTCAGTGGAAGCAGTTCAACACTGGACATTTATCCGTGCTATGTGGATAACAAACAATAAACTTACACATCTGCACTCATTAAAAAACAACAGGGGTGGGTGAGATGAAGCCTTCTACTTCAGTTCTGCATTTACACTGAAAGGACACAGATGTTTGTCTCATTTTTAAAACTTTCAATTTTTAATGTCTTCTTAAAATGCAAGTTTTCAGTCCTATTAATCATTTCCTTTCCTGTTTTTCAAGTGGAGATTAAACAAACATGACTGCTGCAGCTTAATACATCATGGAGTTCCCTATCATACCAAAACAGCACTCTCTTGTTCTTTCCAAACACTATTGATGTCACCACAGCTCTAGAAACAGTGCTTGTGTTAACTACTGTTGGCCAGCCAACAGAGGATAAGATAATAAAACATCACCACAACTATAATTCTCAATATATATGCTTAAAATTAGACAATTTCATGAAATTATACTTTAAAACAAGTTAAATTTGGGGTTTGAAAACCTTGGCAGTATTCCTTTCAAATGGCAAGTGTTTCAAATACTTTAAGTGGTAAAACAGTATGGATTCACTACCTTCCTTTAATCCATCATGGCTACAAATGAAACTTTATAGTACAAGACTGCCTAAAAGGAAAGAACATATGTAAATAGTCCAGGGCCTTTATAACAATGAAAAACAAACAGCCTAACAAAATAGATAGTTTTTTTCCCCCTGACTTAATTCAGACATTAATTTCCTCTCTCTATAGCGCTTTCACTATAGTACTTTCCCGCTCCTGCCCCTCCCTCCCAGAAAGTCCTAAGCACCGCCAAACAGCTGTTTAGCGGCACTTAGGATTTTCTGGGAGGGGGAGGAGTGGAGACTGCTCCTCCCCATCCCTCCCAGAACTTTGCGCTTAGGACTTTCTGGGAGGGAGGGGCAGGAGCGGGAAAGCCCTGCATCTCCGCTCCTCCCCCTCCTTCCCAGAAAGTCCTAAGCGCCATCAAACAGCTGTTTAGCGGCGCTTAGGATTTTCTGGGAGGGAGGGGGAGGAGTGGAGACACAGCGCTTCCCCGCTTCTGCCCCTCTCTCCCAGAAAGTCCTAAGCTCTGCCAAACAGATGCGAGACATCATTGCCAGGAAAAATCGAAGTGACCCTAGAATGTCCAAGAGATGCATCATTATTTACATCTTGCAGATTTCATTTCAAATACTCAACTTGAATTTTGAACAGTTATCCAGAGAAAGCACTGGAATACAAGTTGTAGAAACTGACAGTAAGCAATTGATTTGTATCCAACTGATGTGCTGAGAAAGCTCACAATGCTGCTTCACTCAACATACTCTATACGGGGCCTGTGTAAACCAAAAAGATTTTTTACTTTCTGAACAGAATTTCCAGACTTTAACATGACATGTATGGCTAACATATATGACTTCAAAATTATTCTTACAATAAATACTGACATTTGCCTAGGGTGAGCAATGCAGATTCAACCTTCTTTCCACAGCAGTCATTTCACGGAACACTTACAAAGACTTGTAATATGGCATTACAATGGGACACCACTTTCCATATTGCTGAACTAGCACAGATTCCTATGGCACATCTACACAAGCACAAGCATGCCAAGCTAGGGTGTAAATCAACAGCGCTCCAGCATACTGTGCACTCTCCATGGGAACCCTGCTGAAGCACACTAAAAGTTCCCTAGTTTGAAAATGAACTTGGGAACTTCTAGTGCACATCTGCAGGGTACCCATGGGCAGTTAGTGCACAGCATGCTGGAACACTGTACATTTACATCCCAGCTTGTCACACAGCAAGTGCTCATGTAAATATGCTCCTAGTCTTCATGTTGCAGACCTACGGACTGTTCAGAACCATGCAGCACTATTACCTCTTTTAGATAATGTAATTCATTGACAAACATATGAATTGCCATGTTGATTAGACCAATGGCCCACGTACCTCAGCGTCCCATCACAGACTAGGGCTAGATTCCGTAGAAGAAGCTGTAAAACCCACATCCATTATGCAGCATGTCCATGAGGGACATTTCTTCTGAATGCCACGGATCTAGTGGCCAGGTTATATTCAGAAATACATGGTCTGATAGCCCTTACACATTTTATTCCATAACTGTGAAGAGCAGTAGCATAAATATGACTAATGTTTTTTGCCTAACTATGCTTAAGACGGAGAATAACTCCCATAAGTACAATTTCACAAGGTTCCCTTTATTAGGAACCTATGCTCCTACTGTTTAATATATGTACCGAATCTGGTGCTCTAATCACCATAGGCACAATTCTTTGGATATGTCATCCTACTATTAGAAAGCCAAGGGAATAATTTGCTGATCTCAATTACAACAGCAGCCCTGATTCCCACTCTCACTAAATACTTCAGTTATAAATGTCAAGTTGGTTGGGGGGATGCCTTCCATCTACAAAGAGACTGGTACCAATAAGCGACAGCTACTACATATGCAAGGGAAAAGGAACAAAACTAAATTCAGCCTTAGCCTTTAAGGCACTATAATCTCCAGTACTGTGTATTTACTTAACTCCACAGTCCAGCAACTAATACTGTAACTAACCTTAGAGGAAATACTCTATTACGCTTGAAATATTTCAGTAGTAAGGTAGCTTGAAGACAGATGTGCCCTCAGCAAGGACTAGCCACCTGGGAAGTTTAAACTTCTGAAGTTCAGACATTTGAGTTCAGCAGGAACAAATAAAGCTTTTTAATTTTTCTTCCTGCAACAATCGCCTAACCAAAAAAATGGGTACACTAATTTTTCTCATTAGTTTCCAGGGGGACGGGGAGAGTCACATTTGGCTGAGACCAAGTATTAAATGTCAGAAAAAATGGGAGAACTTTTTGGGAAGTTTCAAATATACAGAAAAAGGAGATAGCAGAAGTTTTCACATAATCTTAACTATAGATTTCTCTCCTGACAAAGTACAACACATGTACAGAAACATTACTGTATGTATTCATTTAGTTCATAGCATGGAAAGTGCCAGTGTCCCAAGGGCTAAGGTGATGCAGCTTAAGAAATTCCACCATGCCAATGTAAACTGCTGAAAAATGTAACCCCTTTTTTTAAAAATAACTGAAACTTCCCTATTTTCACATCCCCCTGTGAACAATGCCACTTAGTATTGGAAGCTGAGCTTTGTTCCCTTCTCCATTTCCTGACAACTAGATGAGATCTTCCCCCCTTGGGCTTTAACGTCTTTCAATTTAATTAAGAGACAAGAAATAAAAATTTGATCTAATTAGTCTAGATGGCCTGTGCTCTTTAATTATTAGTGCACCCAACGAAAAGGAGGGAGGAAAGAGGGATAGGAAAAGGATAACTGTTATAAAACTTCAAACTATAAAATTATGTTTACAACGCAAAATGTTTAAAGAGGAAATTGTAATACTACCACTAAAACATAGTGCAAGCATTACTTTAATACTATGGCAGTGATTAGCAGAATTGCCTCCAATGCATTCAGGGTATGCAGGGTCTACAATAATTCTTGCTTCCCAAAAGAAAAATACTACAAGAGTATTCTTAATAGAAACTGACAATTCAAGAACACTGTAATACCTTACTATATTCACTACCATGCAGAATGGCAAAGGGAATCTGGACTGCTACAATCCAGGACTTCATGACTGTATTGCATACTTTACTCAGTCTTGTTTTAGAAATATATGTAATGCATGCAAGCAAATAAGATTTTTTTTTAACCAAATAGTCATAAGCTTATAAAAGTAATCACATCAAGAAAAGTATTGTATATTCACCCTGTCAAATCATTTTCCTATTACCAAGCAACAGACAGAAATTGTCATATGGCCACAAGTTATAACACAATTGGGGAAAAACAAATATAGTTTGTTATCCTGATGAAAATGTGACTATGTGAAATAGCATTGTTCATACCAACCTGGCACTCTATAGCAAATTTTTCATTTTAGATTCCATATGAATTTTGGAAAAGGAAAGGAAATAGGTTCCCCACAATAAAGTAAAGTTAGGATTGTCTAGTAGCCTTTTAAAAGCAATAGTGAGCACAAAGGAGTTAAAATTATTAACTTCTGAAGACTGAGAAAAAACAAGTGATGTTTTTATTTCCTCCTACTTGCACTATTTCACAATAGATGTTCACATGCTGTGTCAATGTTTTGAAATCAGACCGGAATATTTAACAAGTGAACTTGTGAAACTTATGTCTTAACTTATTTTTAAGTTTACATACTGCCTAAAAATTATGTTTAACTTATGTGAGTGAAAATGTCCCTCCCCTTCCACATACTTAAAACTGATGAATAAATTTCTCATTTCTATTTGGTACTTAAATCAACTTTTATGGTCAGCAGAAGTATTAGGGTATCACCCAAAGCACAATGAAGACAACAAGAACCTTTCCATTAACTTCAATGGGCTTTGCATCAAGCCCTTAGTCTCTGAAATAAAAGCACTATTTAGCTCTTAGATAGGCCTGCACCATCCTCTCTGACTAGAATAGACAGAGGGTTGAAAATACCTCCCTCCCAAATAAGACTGTTCTACATATTGTGTCCCATCCTATGTCCTGTCAAATTTAAATATTTTTGTTTCGGTGTTTTGCAAAAGCATACGGCTAAATGCAGTGCTCATTTTGCAAAAGCATGTTGATCTTGAAGACAAAGAAGAGCACAGCAGTAACCCTGGCCTGATTCTCCTCCAACAACAGGTAGCAGCTACATCTCTAACAAAGTGCTTAGAAAAGCAATTCAAAA